TTTACAACACAGTAGACAAGCAGAGAGCCACATTATGAATGAACTCCCATTCATAACTGCTACAAACAGAATAAAATACCTAGGAATACAGGTAACAAGGGACACGAAGGACCTCTTCAAAGAGAACTACAAAACACTGCTCAAGGAATAAGAGAGGACACAAACAAATGGACAAACATTCCATCCTCATAGATAGGAAGAATCAATATCCTGAAAATGGCCATACTGTGCAAAGTAATTTACAGATTCAATGTTATTCCCATTGAACTACCATTGACATTCTTCACAGAAATAGGAAAAACTATTCTAAATTTCATATGCAATCAAAGAAGACCCACTATAGCCAAGACAATCCTAAGCAAAAAGAACAAAGCTGTAGGCTTCACAGTACGTGACTTCAAACTGTACTACAAGACTATGGTAACCAAACAGCAGGGTACTGGTACCAAAAAAGACAAATAGCACAATGGAACAAAACAGAGACCTCAGAAATAACACCACACATCTACAACCATCTGATCTTCAACGAACCTGAAAAAAACAAGCAATGGGGAAAGGATCTCCTATTCAGTAAATGGTGCTGGGAAAACAAGTCAGCAAAATGCAGAAAACTGAAACTGGACCCCTGCTTTACATCTTATACAAAAATTAACTCAAGATAAATTAGGCCGGGCGCGGTGGCTCAAGCCTGTAATCCCAGCACTTTGGGAGGCCGAGATGGGCGGATCACGAGGTCAGGAGATTGAGATCATCCTGGCTAACACAGTGAAACCCCGTCTCTACTAAAAAATACAAAAAAATTAGCCAGGCGAGGTGGCGGGCGCCTGTGGTCCCAGCTACTCGGGAGGCTGAGGCAGGAGAATGGCATGAACCCAGGAGGCAGAGCATGCAGTAAGCCGAGATTGCGCCACTGCACTCAGCCTGGGCGACAGAGCGAGACTCCGTCTCAAAAAAAAAAAAAAAAAAAAAAAAAAAAAAGATAAAGACTTAAATGTAAAACCCCAAACCATAAAAATCCCAGACAATACCATTCAGGATGTAGGCATGGGCAAAGACTTCATGACAAAAATGCCAAAAGCAGTTGCGACAAAAGCCAAAATTGATAAATGGGATCTAATTAAACTGAAGAGCTTCTGCATAGCAAAAGAAAGCATCATCAGAGTGAGCAGGCAACCTATAGAATGAGATAAAATTTTGCAACCTACCCCCATCTGACAAACGTCTAATATCCAAAATTTACAAGGAACTTAAACAAATTTACAAGACAAAAAAAAAAAAACTTATCAAAAAGTGGGCAAAGGATATGAACAAACACTTTTCAAAAGAAGTCACTTATGTGGGCAACAGAGATATGAAAAGAAGCTCAATATTACTGGTCATCAGAGAATTGAATATTAAACCACAATGAGATACGATCTCACGCCAGTCAGAATGATGATTATTAAAATGTTGGGAAACAATAGATGCTGGTGAGGCTGTGGAGAAATAGGAACACTTTTACACTGTTGGTGGGAATGTAAATTAGTTCAACCTCGTGGGAGACAGCATAGCAATTCCTCAAGGATCTAGAACCAGAACCATTGGCCCAGCAATCCCATTACTGTGTATATACCCAAAGGATTATAAATCATTCTATTATAAAGACACATGCACACGTTTGTTTATTGCAGCACTATTTACAATAGCAAAGAAATGGAACCAACTCAAATGTCAATCAATGATAGACTGGATAAAGAAAATGTGGTACCTATACACTGTGGAATACTATGCATCCATAAAAAGAATTAGATTATGTCCTTTGTAGGGACATGGATGAAGCTAGATGCCACCATCCTCTGCAGACTAACACAGGAACAGAAAACCAAACACTGCATCTTCTCACTCATAAGTGGGAGTTGAACAGTGAAAACACATGAACACAGAGAGGGAAACAAAAGACACTAGGGCCTGTTGGGAGCTGGGGAGAGAGGGGAGGGAACTTAGAGGACAGGTCAATAGCTGCAGCAAACCACCATGGCCCATGTATACCTATGTAACAACCCTGTATATTCTATGTATGTATCCCTTTTTTTTTTTTTAAGAAATAAAGAAAAGCAAAAATAAATTTTAAAAAGATATGGGTGTCAAAAGAGAAAGGCTTATATGCAGCACAACATCTAAAATAAAACATGCTGGCCTGACACTTTTATTTTTGGTTGCTCTTTTTCCTTCTTTAGTCACTTAAAATTTCTAATTTCTGGCATGTATCTTAATGTGACTTATTTTTTAAACAGTGTCTTTACTCTTTTCACAACATACCTTGAATATAAAAAGGAATAAATATTCTTCACTTCTACTAAGAACAGGGCTTACTACCATTTATCTAAAGTGCACAGACCACTAGTCTTTTTTTTCATGTTTTAATAGACACATGAAGAAAAATCTTTCTCCTAAATTTACAATTAAATAATCCAAGCTTACACAAAAGTTAACAGACATCTCAAATCTGGCAGATAATAAGAGAAATAAGGACTATGGCAAAGGAATGTACACAGTCTAAAGAGTGCGGAGCTACAGCAAATTATTTCCATAGCAAATCATTGTCCTGGTATTATCCAATATTTTTCTCTTCTAAGCGAAGTTGAAAATCCAGATTTTTATGTGAAGGGCCATGGATTTTATAGGTTAACACATTGTGCTATAAAGTTAATATATTGTAAGCCAAAACATCATACACACACACACACATACATACACACTATATTTGGTGTGTGCACACATAATAAAACACAGAGAAAAGCATTCACATGCACGATGCACAAGCACTCATACACATGCATCCTCCCATCAACACACACAAACAACTGCAGGGTATATTAGGGACATGGGTCTTTATCTAAAAAAAAAAAAATCATTATTTTTGTCTAACTTGAACATTAGGCTTTTATGCTTTGAAGCATAACTATTACGCTAAAAATATTTTTCCAAATATAGATAGATAGATAGATAGATAGATAGATAGATAGATAGATAGATA